CGATAGCTCTATATTTAAATGTGAATGAGATAACTTGTAATCAAGACGCTAACAAATCCAATCTTCCGAACTAGAACCTGTTATTTTTGTCACGCGTACCCCCGTACTTTCACACATGATAATATCATTAATTTAAAGCGCATCGGTCAATGTATATTTTCCCTAAACAGCATTAACAAGTTAGTGTTTGTAAATGTGATAGAGTTGTATTCTGTTAGGTAGGAACTACATTTTAAAAATTAAAACATACATGATGCTTCGTAGTGTTATATGATGTTTGCTTAGTTATAATGTAATTACATGATAAATAGTTAAGCTTGTCTCACATTCTGGATGGTGCTACCACTCAGTAGTACTTAAAATACATATTTTCCTTGCACGTCTCATTAAACAGCGCAGGGGCGTCTCACAGCAGATATTGTATGTTGGCATTGTTACTGGTTCACATTTAGAAAGTATATCGACAAGGAGCCCCTCGATAGAACAATATTAATATAATAGTAATTTCGAAGAGAAAGACTTTCTCGCAGTAAGTCGCAATGAAATTGTGGAGAGTGGTTGTAGAGGAGGCCAAGGCTCACCCAGGGGTGTAGCGTCGAGTGGTAGGTAGGTAGGTAGGTAAGCCGCAATGAAAACTATTGTCGTTACATTCAGTAATATAATCACGACATGAAACTTTCTCATATCATTGCGAAGGGGTCTTATGTTTTTGGGCGGATCAGTAAAGTTGGCGAAACGCTAGACAGCTTGGAGCTGGTGACGAAGGAGATCTCTAACTCTGGCTAAGAGCCATGCGTTTCATCAGCTACCGGTTTCAGAAATGATTACTGGGAATCTTAGTTATACTCCAATAGGCCTAAGAGAAATCGCCGACTAAGAAATAGGCCTCTAACGTTGACCATTCTAAATTATCGTTGGATTAACAAAGATGGACGTTTTGTTAATTTAATTTTACACTTGACTAAATAACTTGTTATTCAGACTGGGTTCTGTACGGATAGACAACAATTAAAGTACACCGTTTTTATGCTATTAAAATGCGTATTGCTGTGTTGTTTATTAACGGATTTTGATCTATGCTGTTTAATGTCTTACCGGCAAGCGGGACAACATTTTATATTTGTGGTATTCATGTCTTAACGGTCTCGGGTTATTCCTATTTTAGCTTGATGACCCCAGGTACCATCTATGACACACGATATCTATTGTATTTCTTCTATGTAGACCTGTATCCTATATAGGTCTATCATACATACATAATGCAATATGTAAGGTAAAGATAAAACCATCCCTATAATATGCCGTAAAGACCCACAGGATTGTGAGACGTCGAGGTTACCACATTTGCTCTAGAAAGTCGGCTCACAGATGGCAGTAAGAATGTCAGCCTTACGCGCCGGCCACCCTTTACCCTCCAAGAAGATTCTTGGTACACATATCTGTTAGAGGCTGAGTCGACCCCAGGGACATAGTGCGGCTGGAAGGATTAGGTAAATTGAAAAAAAAAAATCCACCTAATTGAGACTCGAACCCACGATCTTCCGGCTTGTAGCATAGTGCCTTAAGTGACTGCGTTACTGCGTGCCCCTAATATAATATGTACTTAATACAAAGCTCGATAAATGTGTTCTCCTTCTTCTGTTAGGCCTGTTTGTGTTATGAAGAATAGATATTCACTAAAATTTATATTAATACTTTTGTAATCTTTTGTTGAAGTTTTCACATTCATTTATTGATATTTTGACGCTTACTTTCCACCCATTTTTCTCTCATTCCCGTTAATGTAGCTAGACAAAGAGAAGTACCGCTAGTCTAAAATTGTTTATTTATCAATACATTTTTTCCTGACTGTATGCATATAGAGAATGGCCCAAAAGTTTGTTAACTCTTCTGTGAAATGCACAAAAAAAATACGTTAGAAATCCCTTCATTACATACAGATTCATTCATCAGTAATCTGTCAGACGACAGGTCCACAGTCTCTTCCTAAACAGTTCCTCCACTTAATGCGATCTTCTGTTTTTGGAAAGAGACTATCCAGGAAAAGTGATAATGTGGTAATTTTTAATGTGGTAGTGAATTCACAATAATTTTTTAATAAAATCCTCCGTGTTTAGTGCGCAACTCAAAACACTGTGATGCCGTTCTACAAGTCGACTGACAGACTTAAATCTGAACATTCTAGTTAATGTGAGAAAATGTTTTAAGTTAACTGACTTTTGAGGAACTCTGCATCTCGGGAATAAACCAAAATAAGACGTGGTCTGACACAAAGAATTTTAACAGAGCTACGTATCAACTGATCGTGCTGCTGCAGGACCTCCTAGAGGAAAACGGGGAGGTTCCTTCTGAGTTGGAACAGGCCAAAATATTTATTTGTATTTGATGTTTATGACGATTAATTGTTTAAAAATGGAAAATGAATTTCACAATTGTCCCAATGACAACGTATACAAATATATTTTCTCTCAACAATTATGGAAATAAAGACATTTTTTCTTACGTTTGTCCTCTCCATGTTCCGAAAATTTGGCACAGGATTTTTCAAAGTGAAACCCCATTTTTGTTTACATAATATTTTATTAGTTTGAATACTTCAGAAAATTAAAATGCATACATTTTAAACTCCTTCATATTTACATTGTTAAAAATAAGACATAATTTGGCATAGCTGGTTCGAAACAATTTAACACTGAAATTATTAAATTTTTACATACAGTTGCAAATAAAATTTAATTTTCAGTGGCTGTATGGTGGCGAATGGTTTTATTCTGTTCAGCAATAAGTGGAGAAATAAATTCGTAGACCATATAAATAATATATAGATATAAAATATGAAGACTGTTTCTGATATCTGTGACGAGGAGTTAAAGATACATGCGGTTCATAGTGGGAAAGAACGTGGACTGATGGCTCTGAGCACAGGGTGGGCACGCTAAGTGAAGAAGGAGTTGAATGCGCTGCACAATCTGTCGGTCCAGCTCATCGCCTGCTATTGGTCGGGTAATTGAATTAAGAGGGATGCAATGGGCGTGATATGGCTAAATTTACGATGCTGTCGGAGTTTATATAACGTATAATGATAGAGTGACTGATGAAATGGGTAGAATTTGAAAGGAAGCTGTCCTGAATTAATCGAGGTATTATGCCAGCATTTTCCTGCAGAGACTGAGGAAAACAACGGGGACTATCATTCAGGATAGCAGTTGTCCCGTCCTAGATTCGAACCAAGTCTAGAAAATTACCGCTACATCAGCTATTTCGATATATAAGTTGGTGAACGGGGTCATGATACAGGATTTTCATCGGAGAACGTAGAACGAAGATGTAAGGGTAATGGCAGAAAAATTGTAATTTTAATTGAAACAGAATGTGAACTTGTGAATTCGGTTAACTGGTCCAAGTAGAAACCAATGGCTGGCTTTTGTGAACATGATTATGAATATCCAAGATTCATAAATATAAAAAAGGTAAAGCTTTCCCTGTTAACAGGCCGTGAAGGCCCATAGTGTTGTGAGATGTCAAGGCTCCCACATTTTCTAGATAATCGGCTCACAACTGGCGGTGAGGTTGTCAGCCTTACGCGCCTGTAGCCCTTTTCCCCAGGAAGATTCCTGGTACACATTTCTGTTAGATGCTGGGTCGACCCCAGGGCCGTGCGGCTGAAACGATTAGGTTAATTGAAAAAAATGTAATGACCTCATCGGGACTAGAATCCACGACCTTCCAGCTTGGAACATAGTGCCTCAACCAACTACGTTACCGTGTGCCGCTTAGATCCATAAATATATAATTTCTTTGTCTTTGAAATGCGAACAAAGGAGGCTGTTGAGCTGCGCTTGATTAATCTAACAATGCTTCTTCAGGTGTGTATTATATGATTAATGCGAATCCGAATTGATTTGAAAGGAAATGGCCGTAACGTATTTTTGAGATCGTAGAGTACATTAGAACTCTAATTACGAAACTCTGAAGATGAGAATTAGCCTAATTTACTTCATGAGCTTCATACAGAACAAAATTCACATATTTCAAGAGCCTAGAATTATATTGTGATACACGTTTCCTGCTGTACGTCTACTCTTCAGTCTTCAGTACTAAGCAACTATCAAGTTTTGCTTCACTTCACAGCATTTTAGTTTACGTTAAAGAGACAAGGTCTGCACTTTGCACGTAAGTGATATTACCTACAGCAAGGTCTCTCTAAGCCCTAGCTTGTCACCTTTCCTTGGCAGAGAAATACAACAGCGGATGGTTCAGAGTCCACAGTAACTGTAGGCGCCAGATATATTGGGTGACATTCTTGTTACGAAATGTATTACGTAGAAAAGCCACGTTTTCTAATGCATGGAAGCATGTTTTATCCCAAAACAAGAGAAGTATGTTGACAGAGAAGCAGATAACATGTTATGTAAGCTGGCGTACGTATATAGGAGGTACCTTCCTTTTCCACTGCCATCCTGAGATCAGAATCAGCTGAGAACACGTCGTTTCGGAACCGAGAAATGTCCAGGTCATAGGTCACTGGAGCAGATGTTAGTGTGTAGGCATGGTACTGCGGCACACGTGCTAGGATGCAAGAGCGAGTTCTGGCGGCGGCAGTGTTGTCTTGGCAAGGCGGTAGTTGCAGACAGCGCGCGCATGCTTACTGGTCGGCCACTGCAAAGCCTTTCTCTTTCTCTGTCTCTCAGCTGTTTCTCCTTTTGCCGCTGCGTCCAAGGGTTCCTCAAACCGACGTCAGGTGAGCAGCGGCACGGGTCGAATGGACCGCGTCTTCACTCTTCACAACAGGGCCGCGCGCGCTTTTTTCTGCATTTTTTCCGAGCGGTGGTGGGAAGAATGGGAGTGACGTGGGATGGGGTGGGGGTAGAGACCACATACCTCACCGAAGGTGTCTATAATTTTTTTATCTATATGCCGAATCCTTTCGTTAAATTATTTGAGTGAGAGTGTATATGTGTGTTTACGCAGTAACTTTAGTATTTGCTTTGAANGGTGTGGAATGGACATGCAGGCCGTGCTTATAGCCGTGTGTCTCCTACTCGTCTCGCCTATTACAGGACACTGGTGGTAAGTGATCTGCACACGTTCCCCCACCCTAAACCATCACTTTGTACCAATTTTCATAAGTTTGTGGGTTTAGAACACGACATATGTCCTCTTTGTTCCTTGTCTTTGACGACCTGGAAGTAGTACTTCCTTATTCATGCAGTGCTTGTGGACTAATGACAGCGCTTGCGCGTGACTCACGGAGAAGAGCCTCCATTAGAATCCAGGTTGAGGCATGAATATTCAATGATGTGTATTGTATTGTCCTGCTAATCGTGTATTGTGGCTTTACGAAGCAGTTCACATTTGCTTCTATTCTAAGTGATTTGTGTAAGAATATTCGACACGTTCTTCAGTTAAGGGAATGTAGCTTTTGTTAAGAAAGGTCAGGTAAGAATCTGACACCGGCTGTAGCTTACAAGGTAAACGCTTAAGGGACAGTCAGCAAAGTGCTACATTCATAAGCTTCTGTTTTCTTATTGCCGATCAAGCGTAGGAACGCTTATATATATATTTTTTTTAATCCATATGTTTTATTGGTTTTCCATCCACTGACGAAATCTTTCATTCATTTACTGTTTATTTACTTCTAATTTTAATTTAGTGACTTAATTGTTGGTCATTGTTAGATATAAAACCAGGAAACACAGAACACATCTCTGTGCCTCCATCCATGGAAGAAAGTTTTGATACTGAACATTGTACGCGTTTCTACCGCTTCATAAATCCATTTTTAAAAACTGTTTTACAGAATATTATAATAAACCAGAATCAGGTAATATAGCACGTAGTGTCTTCAGCTACTGATAAGGAACGTTATAAATTTCCATGGCATTAAAATTGTTTCCTTGCTGCATAACGGACACTGTTTAACATATAAAGAGATCCAACTTTGTTTACTCCAATTGAAATTGGAAACAGAACGACATACAAATATTCGAGTATTCTTTATGAAATTATGAACGAACCTTCATAATCCAACATATTATGTTTGAGTTGAATGTTTATATAAAGTTAATTTAAAAATTTCAAAATAAGTACATCCAGAGTATTATAAACTGCCTTATAAGGAGGCCTGTACTACATCTCTTGTTCTATAAGTGATCTATGTAGTGTTGTTTTGCAGCCAAATAGGCAGACGCCCGCCGAAATGTGTCTATGGGATGGTTATTGAAATATGTTCCTTTTTGACAACATCAGTGCAGACGACTGGCTCGGCCACGTCCAGACACTGAGTCTCAGGCACTCTCATATGCTTTCAGACAGCCCCATATTAACTGTAAACATTAATAATTATATCAGTATATAATATTAATCACATTCTTAGAAAATAAGATATAAAAAATTTCGGTAAATGCAATTAAAAAGAGAGATACTCCATAAGATGGCTACCTCCAGGCTGTACGAAAGTTTATTTTTATTGTTTTAGTTACTGATAACAGACCTGAGAGGTATTCTGGTTTGTTTAGAGTTTGCTGTCGGTGGAGAGAGGCTGGGAATTAGGTCATAATAATTTGGGGGGGGGGGTCCAGACTATTTAAACGTAGTTGATCATTTTTCTTTTTCCGACACGATGGCGTGGCTCATTGATTAGTACCATTCTTTTTGGAAGATGCTTTCAAAGTATCGAATAAGTCCATTGTTTTGGGCCATATTGTGAGAGTAACCTAACCTGTGGACCCAGAACGGTAGGTTCGTGTGCACCGAATGAAGGAAATATTGTTAATTTCCAAAATCTAACGATTTAGCAAAAATTGATGCTTGAGGAAATTCTCACAAAATAAACTTAACAAGGAACCAAACATTTGAATTGCGCCCAACCCCACAGAAAACTCCCTGTGTTAGTTTTTAATGTGATCATTTTATTAATTTGAATAACTTAAGGTCACAGCGTATGGTCACTGTTTTTGTCTGATTGTGAAAATTGTTTATAGAATATCTCCACCACATGCTATTTGTAACAGGGGTCTGTTAATTCTTTTACGTTCACTTTTAGTTATGCACGCACGCACACAGGAATATATACACACAGATGTAAGCACTATAAATAAGTAACATTTAGTTTATCTTCGGTATTCAGCTTTTTCAAAGAAGTAGGTTCGTCATACACACTATCCTAATGATGTGTTATATGTGATTTCCAGCGCATACGTGTGCCAGCGGGTACGCTGTTCTACGTTCCAGAGAGATTTATGTTTGTTGTTTGTGCTTCCTCTGCATTACGCGAGACTCACAGTTCCAGACGAGGAGTCTGTGAAGGGATTTTTACTGTTTGCACGAAGTATCTTGTTGTAGCCCAGCAGTCAGAGATTGTTTGCGTCACAGAGAAAATATTGCGCTAACTCTTCTGCGCTGTTGTGTCGTGGCGTGAACCAGTAGGCCCATGTGCTGCTGCAATAGCGCGCCCTCTCCAAGTTACGTAAGAACGTGAGACAAGTAGGCGTTTCGTATTTCGACTCCACGAACTGTCTGTTGCTTTATGTTGTGGGCGAATACTCAAGGACACCTATTTAAGATAACAAAAGTATTAAGTATAAAGTGTGCTTACCAAAATTTGTTAAATTTAATTTCGTTTCCGTTAATGCAGGTCTGAATGAATGTCTGAAAATTTCTTTTTCTTGGAATTATACAGCCCTTTTCGCGGGTTGATGCCGAAGTTGAGAAATTAAACTGAATTGTGTGAAGTTGAATTCGCCACTGATAAAACAATCGAATCATGCACGATGTGGTACTTGAGCAATTGTACTATTGATGTAATTGACGATGATGGTTATGATGATGATAATGATAATAATGAGAATTTTTAAAATCTTCCGTCATTTGAACCAGGAATAAAATAATAGATAAATATGAATTTAACTACTTATCAGAATAGCTTTTCATTATCATAAGTCCAGCAAAAATGTCGGTAAGAAGCGCATACCGTTCTCTATATATTTGAAAAATGTATTTTTATCCCTCGAAAGTTTCGTACACCATAGGCCGTGCCATGACTTAAGCGGTTAATCGCCGATTTGGCATCACGGAAGCGCCGGTTAAATCCCAGGCCAGGTCTTATGGTATATGTGATGGACGGAGTAGAACTGTGGCCTGTTTCCTCCGAGTATTTCGTTTTCTCTTGCTAATTCTCATTCTCCAAACAGCTCTATTAATTAATCGCCTTATAACGGCGCTTATAGTCTGTGTACCGAGAGCGTCATTAAACAAAAAACAAATTAACGTAGCCAATGAAATTTATATAGAAACATTAGATGTCAGGAATGTCAGCAAAACTTCGGCCCTTCAGGGCACTGTTTTAATTTTGGAATGAGCCAAAAATCGCAGGAGCCTAAGTCAGGTGAACAAGGTGGATGGTCCATTTATGTAATGGATTTGTTAGCCAGGAACTCGCGAACTCGTGAATTCTTCACGCAAGCTCCTTATACTTGACAATACTTCTAACATTTTCGCCTTGACATTTCAAAGGGCTTGGTTTGGAGCCTGGGCCTACCGCAAAGCATTGCAGCAAGAGCTGAGTTCAATGCAGATAACAGAGGCATTCAGATAGAGGGCAAATTCATGTTCGGACAAACTGTAACGAAGGGATTCGGATAATTAAATTGTCGGGCTGCTTATTGGTCTGTTCAAGATTTAAAAGAACGGATAATGTATTACGAAGTAGGATTCAACAATTTAAGAAGCCGCACAGTAAAGGAAGGTCAAGATGAATAAAAGAGGTTGAGAAGGAAGAAGTGTTTGCCAGGGAAAGAAGGCTGTTGGAGAGACAAGCTCTCATAAGATTAACTAATTAGGCAACCGAGGAGTACAAGCATTAGAGTTGAGGTCAAGAGTCTTTCTTTGATGTGCAAGAACGGGGAAGTGTTTCAGATTTTCTAAAAGTGCATTGATGGCCATCTGGCTGCTATATTCGAATCCATCTGTCTTCATTTATTTATAATTTATTTAAAATCACTGTCAGTAGCTCATGGTATATGACATAGACTGATATAATGATTAATGAATAATGAAGTGAAACGGATCTGGAAGGAATTGGTCATGGTACAATTTGACATACTGTCGCGGAAATTTCATGGAGGAACTGAAGAGAAACTTAAGTAAGGATAGCTGATTTGCGGACGGAAATTCGAAACCAGGATATACTGAATAAGAAATAATAGTTCTAGTCATTCAATAGCGATATTTTTGAGTGCATATCGGGCTGACATATCTTCGAGAATTTATATTGTGACGACACACAAAAATAACCACTCTCAGGAAAGACCTGTGCGTGAAGCCTGCTCTTCGACTGCATATAAGACACAGCAACTATTCTCATACATCACGAGGAAACTAATCCCGAGTCGTAATCAGTAAAATGTAATTTTAAACAAAAATAATAAGAGAGATATTATGCATTTTTACGAGACGGGATAGCTCAGTAGGTATAATGAAAGCCTGCGGGCTGGACTGTCGACGTTCGATTCCCGAAAGGGAGAAGAGATTTTTGTCCTCCCCACAGTACCAAAATCAGCTCTTTGGCTCACCCTGACTCTTATAAAACAGACTGAGGGCTATTTCCGCTAGAGGTAAAGCCGCCAGAACGTGAAACACAGTTTTAACTTTGACCTTTATGAAATGTAATAGTTTTCATGAAGTTTGCTAGCAGTTATGTGGAGTTTAGTATTTCATTAACCGTTAATAATAATTCTTATTTAAGATCTCGCCTCTCACCCAGCCGATCTCCAAGTCCCGTCAGTGGGACGCGCCCCACCGGCTGAGAAACATAACAAACATAGCGACTTGGGTCTCTCTCGTAACAGTCACACTTGGGTTCGTCTGTATTCCTCGGTTGCGGAGAGGGATGAAGTGCGGCGAGATGAACTGCCCTGGCGCTGATCCATAAGCACGCACCGCCAGGGAGATTCTTCATCACGTCGCTCTGTGTAATGATGTTGACCCCTTACTTGTTCTGTTTGTCCGCTCCCTTGACCTGACCATTCCAACATGTTTACCACCCACACTGCAGCAACTGGGTAACTCTC